TTCGTTATCTGTTTTGAACTTGATTTAATATTAGAAAATATTAAACATGTGTAAATACCCCACCTTCCCCTAAAACAACAAAAAAAAATTGGGGTGGGTGGGGTAGGGGGTGGGGGTGGGGTTAGGGGGTAGGTGGGTTGGAACAAGAAAACAGAGAATCTACAAACAGCTACTACTCTGCAACAACTTTGCCCCCCTCCCATACTATCTGTGCTACCATGTCAGCTTCTGGTCAAATTATTTAAAAGGATATCGAAATTATTCGAGTTACATATTAAATTATTTCGACCTTATATAATGAAACTTATACTAAATTTCATTAACAATTCAAATTTAATTACGAAAAATTAAATTAAAATGAAAGATATTTCGTTTATACTAAAGAATAAATATTTCAAATGAGGACCATTCTACTTAAATCTTTAAACCCTATATCATAATCTATAGATTTTCAAATAGTAATTTTTAAACTGTTAACAAGGACTTCTCTTTAGAAGTTGCTTTCATTACTAATTATATTACTAAAAACAATGCATGTAAAAACAAAGTTTTCTAGTATTTTTATGGTAATTTCAATGTTTTATTCTCTTGTTTGTCTAGCCGTTTTCACTCTGCATTTTAATTGTCATTTTGTTGCTTGTCTTCTTTAATCTCTGTTCCTAAATTATTCTTCTGTTTCATTGGGTTTTATAAGACTTCTCTTGGGATTTTTCTTCCACAAGTTTTACATTTTTATTTGTAAAATTTTGTAATTTTTTTTGGAAGTTTAAGACTTGCTTGCCTTATTTGGATAAGAACTTTTTTGCCCTTTAGCAATTCTTGATCTGATCCAATATTGCATTTTACTCTTTTGTTTTCAAATTTTGCTTTTTTCAGCTTTGTAGATAAAAGGGTACTAAGAAAGATTTGAATTTTTGGAAGAATTGGACCTAAAGTAAGATTCTTGAAATTTTGTTGCTTTTTTGGAGAAGATGTTGTGTGCTTGTTCAGGTGAGCAGTTCAAATTTGATGAGCCACAACCAGAGTCTCCTGAGTCATTGGCTACAAGAGATTTTTCAGCTAGTGGTATTTCTTCAAGAAATGGAACAGTAGATTGGGATTCAAAACTTGATGATGCTCAAGTTGATGAAGTTGAATCAACTTTAAAAGAAGCACTTTCTTTGAACTATGAGGTAATAGCCCTAGCACCCTTTAAACTGATGTAGCATTTGAGTTTAAGATACGAGTTGATTTCGCAGATGGTCAGTCACGGTACAGTAGGTATCTCATAAAGTTATTTTCTTTGTTGAAAAATCATTGAATTTGGTGAGTTGTTGAGATAATAAATATTAGTTGAATGACTAATAGATAGTTCATATAACCGACCCTATTTTGTTTGTGATTGAGGCATAGTTGATTGATTGATGATGATTGATCGATTTGTTCACCCGATTAAGTAGCATTGTCTCAAGCTTTATGTAAGTAGATTTGGCTCTTTTGTGGTTTGGGGTGCAGGAAGCAAGAGCTTTGTTGGGGAGGCTAGAATATCAAAGAGGGAATTTTGATGCTGCCCTTCAAGTGTTTCAAGGAATAGATATTAGAACCCTGTCTTCAAGAATGTCTAAAGCAATTTCTGAGAGAACGAGGCCCTTAAAACCGCGTTCCAAAGGTGATATTCTGCCTGCTGGTGTGATGTCACTGCATTCTGTGAGTCTGCTTCTTGAAGCAATTTTGCTTAAAGCAAAGTCCTTAGAAGAGCTCAGCCGAATCAAAGGTAAAGCTGCTTCTCGTTATGTTATTTGGTATTTCTCCTTAATGTTATTTGGTTGTACTATGCTTAGCATCCAGAGTTATTGAAGACTAAAAATGTATTGTCAATCTTAGTTCTGTATGCCATTGATTGATGAACTCAATGCTAATGGATTAAAGGGTGTGTTGTCTGCTTTTTGGTACTAATGTAGCTGCATATGATTTTTTACTCATCAGATGCTGCTAATGAGTGCAAGATGATACTGGATGTTGTCGATTCAGCATTACCAAATGGAATACCAGATGGAATTTCTGAAGACTGCAAGTTGTTGGAGATGTTTCATAAAGCACTCGAGTTACTTCCGAAGTTATGGATACAAGCAGGATATTTGGATGAAGCTGTGCTTGCATATCGAAGGGCGTTAATCAAGCCATGGAATTTGGATTCCCAAAGATTGGCCTGTATACAAAAAGACTTAGCCACCAATTTACTCTTTGGAGGCGTTGAAGTTGAGGTTCCTGCTCAATTTCAAGTGTGGGGTTCAACAGCCCCTAAAAGTAACTTGGAGGAAGCAATTCTCTTGTTATTTGTACTCATGAGCAAAATGCTAAATGGTCAAATAATATGGGATTCTGAAGTCATGAGCCATTTGACATTCGCGCTGACAATTTCTAACAACTTTGAGTCTGTTGCAGATCACATTGAGCAGGTTATTCCCGGAGTTTATACCCGAGCAGAGAGGTGGTATCTACTAGCTCTTTGTTACAGTGCTGCAGGTCAGAATGATACCGCATTGAACCTTGTCAAGAAAATTTCTGGACGTTCGGAAGCCAACCAAGAACCTTATGTTCCATCTCTCTTGTTGGGAGCAAAGCTGTGTTCTCAGGATCTGCAGCAAGCTCACGAGGGGATAAATTTTGCTCGTGAAGTAATTAACTTAGCCAAAAATCAAGACGACCATTTCCTAGTTCAAGCTCATAACCTTCTTGGCGTCTGTTATGGAAACGCTGCAAGAATTTCTATTTCGGATTTTGAAAGAAATTTCTGCCAAAGAGAAGCATTAGCTGCCTTAAACTCAGCTTCAGTTTGCAAGGAGGATCCAGAATTTATGTTTAGTCTTGGATTAGAAAATGCTATCCAAAGAAACTTGACTCCAGCTTTTAATAATGTAATGCGCTACTCAGAAATGTCGGCTGGAAGTACAGCGAAAGCTTGGAAGTTGTTGGCTTTAGTTGTTTCTGCAGAACAGAGATTCAAAGATGCTGAAGCCATAGTTGATCTTGCTCTCGATGAGACTGGACAAATCGACCAAATGGAACATCTCAGATTAAAAGCTGTCCTTCAAATATCTCAACAACAACCCAAGCAAGCCATAGAGACATACAGGATTCTGCTTGCTTTGATTCAAGCACAAAAGGTGTCCGCGACAAATGATGAGGTACACAACTTTTTTTTTTGATACTTCCTTTAAGAAAGTTTTGAGTATTCATACAGTACGTGGAATAACTGTTTGTAAGGAGATTATATTGGAGATCATAAATTTTATTTGTTTGGGCTGCAGGTAACTTCTCAGAGAAGATTAGAAGTTGAAGCATGGCTTGATTTAGCAGGATTATATACAGATCTTGAGTCGTGGCGTGATGCTGAAATATGTATAAACAGAGCCAAAACAATTCAATTTTTCTGCCCGCGGAATTGGCATGCAACAGGTCTTAACATAACTGTGCAAAGTATATACAATGTATTCACTGTTGCTTTCTCAGTAACTAACCATGATTCTTTAAATACTTTTAGGTGCATTATTTCAAGCTAAAGAAAGATATAAGGAAGCTCTTGTTGCCTTCTCAGTTTCTCTATCAATAGAACCAGATTACATCCCCAGCATTGTTTCTACAGCTAAAGTCCTTATGAAGATGAGTAACGACGTAGTCCCTATTGCTAGAAGCTTTTTAATGAATGCTCTACGATTAGACCCCACGAACCATGAAGCGTGGTTTAACCTTGGAATGCTTGCAAAGATGGAAGGATCAGTCCATCAAGCAGCAGATTTTTTCCAAGCTGCGCATGAGTTAAAGCTTTCTGCTCCAGTTCAAAGTTTTATCTGATACCGACTACTAATTCAAGGCAGAAAATGAGAACTCGACTTCAGCCATGCATCCAGTAGCAATTTGTTAATAGTGTAGACGTTTGCGACTGATTTATGCAGTCTATCTGGTTCTATACATTTCCCAACATGAACAGGATAGTACTAGCTATCGATGTTGATGAACAACATCTCCGACAGGCTAATGGACATGCTACAGGAGTAGTATCACTCATGGTAATTTGTATCAGTGTATATAACAATTAGTACATCTGTTCGTTGGCTTTTGGAGTAATATCTAGGCTACTGAGTTTACATAATGACATGATATCTTGATCTCACAGTTGATTTGCTTCTGCTTACAATCAAGCACTGAACATTTCCATTGAAAGTACTCTTTGTTCTGTGTTTAGATAGCTGCGATGACCCGATGCAACATGATTGTAACTACGAACTCATACGAGTACATCTAAACGTTCACTATGTATGGATAATCGGCTTGTTCATGCTAATTTGTTGGTATTTTGCTTTTACAGTATGTAAACTGTACCACTATGATCGTATGAAGTTGTTGAGTCTGAACCCTCTTCATTGCTCCAACATTTGAATATTAGCTAATGCCTAATTAGTTTGAGAGTCTTTAGAAACAATCTCTCGACCTCCAGAAGGTTTGTAAGGTGTGAATACAGACTACCCTCTCCACACTAGGGATTATACTGCATTTGTTGTTGTCGTATTTTCTTCATTCTATTTCATTTTATTTGTAGTAAAAATTTTGAGCTAATTCAAAATTTAATTTTGGCTCTACAACATGTTACGACATCGTTCTGTATTATTTCAAAAGACTATGTTGGGATTCGTTCTTCAGCGGGGCTATTGCAAAATGTATCGAGACTCATGTTTGGTATTTAGTTCTATGAGACGTACATTCTCTCAGCGTTCGAATGTACGTCCGAAACATGCTCAACACTGTACGTAAAATTCTTTAGTTAACAACTTAACATATTCTTCGGAGTGACCCAACAATTTCGAACTTAGAAACCTCCCATATTGGAGTTTGATTTTATTCAAATTATTTTAATCTATGAATGTACTTTTATAATTTTTTATTATTATATTATTTTAAGAAAAATTACAAAAAAAAATCAATTCTTTTTAAATCCATAAGTAAAACGCACTCCCCTTTCAAAACACTGATTAAAATTAAAAGTACAAAAGGCATAGCTGTAAGTCCTACTTAAAAAATAGCTCAAGCTTCAACTAAGCTGACCGGAGACGATGAATAATCGGCCGTTAAACTCTCTCCGGCCAACCGAAACCCTAGAACTCGAAAGCGGACTTTCTCTAGTTCCACGAATTAAGCTTCTCTTAACAGTCCACCGTGCGGACAAGTCCGTTAATCCGTTCGACGAGTGGAAGTTCAAGCGATCATTAATAGATTACATAAAATCTTCATTCTTCATCACTGTTCCTGAAGAGGACCTAGTAATCCGGAAATTCAAAGATCTCAACAAGCGCAAGCGCGAGGAGCCGGTGGCGCGTGGTCGCCTTTTTGTTCACGACTTAGGGTTTCTGTCAAAGGTGATTTCGGAAACTGAGGATGATGTGGAGAGAGCTGATAAGAAATTTCTAGAATGGAGGAGAGGATTTGTGGTAAAATTGGATGGGATTGAGTTGAATTTGGAAGGTACGAAGTTTAAGTTGAATGTAGCTGTGCCGGTGTCTGATGATTTTGAAGGAATGAAGAAGGAATGGGAAGAGATTATTGCTTTTGGTGCTCGTGGTTAGTAAAGATTTTATATGTTTTAGTATTTTGGATATAATGCAGTTGAATTATAATGCTGGTACACTTGCTTTTTGTTTATCTAGAGATTTGTATGTTAGTTAGAAATGTCCATTATAGAATCTAATGGAACGGAGTGAATCTCGATGTATTTCCATGTTGTGGTAGCCGGAAGTAGAAAACAAGAATAGTGAAGAAACTTGATTGTTATAAGAAGAACAATATCATGTTTCACTGTTCTATATGACTTGCACTCAAGGTCGAAGTCCATGCGATGAATGAAATTTGATAGATAAGAAAATCTGGATTTTAACTTTCAAATGAGGAGCTAAGAAGAAAGGATGCTCAAGAACCGATGCTTTAGTTGTTGTATGGTGTAAAGAGAAGACCTTTTGTTTCAGTTTATGTACGTAAGGATTATGGAGCTAAAACTACTAACAGCTTGAGCTCACTCAGACTAAAATGTCAAAGCTTCTGGCTGTTTTTGTATTTTGAACGAGCTAGGAGTACTTGGTTCCTCGTTATATTGATGGTGACATTCATGACTGTGTGATATGATGCGCCAGTGTAAATGGTCCATGCTTACCTTGAAGTAATTGTATATCCTATTTTCTTCTTTACAGGATATCAGAGGAGTGGAAGGATGCAACCAGATACAATCGTGTTGAAAGGTATGCCATCAAGATGGTTTGCAGAGACGAGGGTCTCATCTAAGCCCTCTATGCTGGTTACTCACACAATTGTTTCCGCGATTGGAAAGATAAGGTAAGTGCTATTAGTTGTTTTTATATCATCTATTAGATTGTTTATGAAAAGTTATTATCTGTTTGACTACTTGTTTGACATTTGAATTGTTTGTTATGGTGTTGAAAAGCCGTCTATTTGTTCATGGATACTTGCTGCAGTAACTATCTTGTTCACTTGACTAATATATCAAGTGCTTTTTTAATCATTGTTGAGAAAAAAGTTTCCTAAAGCAATATTGATACCTACTAAAAGCTCTTTATTTAGAAATGTAATTACCTTCAAAAATTGTTAAACAATCATGTCTCAACTACATTCAACTATGTGTTGTGTAGAGCTGGAGACTGCCATATTATGTACTTTGCGTCCCTATTTTTTCCTCTTCCTTAAAAGGGTCTACTGTGCTTTTATTTATTTCATTATTCCCATTCGTCCAAGAAAAGATAGGATAGACACTTGTTGATTGCTCACCCTCTCTTCCAGATTTTAGCTCTTAAGCTTATCATATATGCATACAACTATTTTGGTAATTTTCATCTTTATTTTGAATTATCTTATTTTTTCTTCGGTAGGAATCTTCATGTAGCTGAGGACAATAGTGTAGGTGATGATGCAGATGAAGAAGACATAGTTTCTGGTCTTCATTGTAAGATTGTAGTGCGGTTCGAGAAGCACAAGGACTTCTATGACGCTTTGAAGATTCTGTGTGGTCGCTCATTGCAAAAGGTATATTTGTTGGAAGTGGAACATCAATCTATTATTTTAACTTTTCCTATAGTTAGTACCCCATGGTACTCTGAAGGGTATCAGTTGATTTGTCAGAATTGAAAGAAATGAAACGGGTTTGACATATTTAAGAGGTAAACACTTAGGCTTTATTCAAATACTGCTTTAATGAGTTTTCATCAAAAAGTCTAATTCTTCAATAAGTGTTGCAAAGATTGGTACTTCATACTCCCTCTATCTTATTTTACGTGACACACTTTCCTTTTGTCTTTCTCAAAAAGAACGACACCTTTCTATTTTTAGGAATAGTCTAACTTTAAACCTCCCATTTTATCTCCAATGACATGTTTTTTGTTACAAGTTTGAAGAGTTCTTCTTGAACTCTGTGCTTAATCAAACAACCTTACATAAAGATGTGACAGAGTGATAGAGGGAGTACATTTTGCTTGTGCGTGTGCATTCATATTCATAGTCAGCAATCCTTGATGGTTTTGTTTCTCAACCGCCAAAAGTTAGATTTTCTGTAATCCAAATTTAATGACACATTATGCTGATTCCTGAAAGTATTTTTTTTCATTTGATGCTATTGATGTTTGGTAAGTTTGACAATTGTGCAGCAAGGATCACGACTCAAAGCTGATTATGACGTGACCTGGGATAAAGATGGATTCTTCCTAGATGCTAGACATCAAATAGAAGAAAGAAAGAGAATGCCAGCAAGAGGAATGGGAGAAAGAGATGATGGTTATAGGCAACACTCGCGAGTCTCTCAATTTAGTTCTGAGGAAGGACAAAAGAGATTTAAGGTCTAAAGGACACACTTTTAGATATTTCTCCTTCAATTTTTATTTCTGAATTGTGACTATAACAACTGTGATTTATTTCTTCTCTTGCTCTTGCTCTTTTCCAAATGAGGCAGAAGTCAAAAAGTAATTTAAGTGGCACATCAGTTCAGGTCGGATATTAGATTGATCAAATCTCTTGTCTGAATTGCAGGAATAGGGATAGGAGCGTTATGTTTGTCACCTTCGGAATATTCCTTGATCAAAGCAGAGACCTGAAGATGATATGTAATTTTTAAAGGGTCAAGACATGATAAATATCTGATTCTATTATGTGGCTCCATTTTAACAGGTATATGTTCCTTCTGCAGAGTCCAAGCTGTACCTTCTTCTGAATTAAAACAATGTGTCAACTTAATTTTGATCTTTGGAAAAGCTCTCAAGCAATCATCAACCACATGCCCATCACTGTTCCTTTGTTATGAACAAGTCAATGTCTTAAGTTTTTACACACTGCACTGTCACCTTAAAAAGTAAGAAGTATAAAGTAAAAAAGAAGAGCAGGAGAAAGCTAGTGAAGAAAACCACACACTCTTGAGAATAGAGACTGACTCCGTAATGACAATCTAAGAGACGGGGACGTTACATGTTTTGACGGAAAGATCTAGAAAGGAATACCAAACTTTGAGCCTGTAGTCTTACCAACTCCAGAAGGCTCAAGACCCAACTCCATTTGACAGTAGCCCTAAGTGAGGTTTGATGGAAGTTTATAGAGTAACCTATTAATTGGATCTATGTGTATAGGAGGCATTTTAAGTTTGTCTTCGGTGCTCAATTGCAACACTTCAATCCAATGGCCAACTATGCTTTAGTAAACAGCATTATTAGAGGATAGGTTCAGCTAACTTCTTTATTGTCTGCTCAACAAGAAGTCCCCAGGTGTATAACCGGCCCTACATCTACTCCATACGTGCTGATGAGACTCGAATAGTTTTTGTTTGTACACTCTGTTTGGGGAACACCAGTTCTCATCACTTTATTAGCTGAGCTTTCCTCCTGGAATCGATGTGTACACTGATGTTTTATGCTTATATTATAACCTGCTTTTGAGCTTCGTGGAATTCGGTGAGTTAAACCTGGATGTTAGGACAGTATTGGAAAGCAAGTAATTGTCATTTGGGGACTGATCTAGATGACAACTTGTTGAGGTTCATTTGTTGCATTTTGCCAAGTTCTTGTAGTTCGGAAGCTGTATTTAAACAGCGGCATATGCCCCAGAAGACGTGGTTTAAGTTTTTCTACACTCCACAATTGGTGATCTAAACATAGCTTTGAAAGATTTGTTTCTTCTCTATCTCTTTGAAGAGTGCTTTCGAGATTTAATGAAGGTTAATTTTGATTACATTGTTCGAGTGGATAGAGTCTCAAGTAATTTAAATGAACTCTCTTGTGAAAAGGACATTCATTTATTTTAGTTCATGATTATAATCAGGTACACCACAATAAAATGGATGTCAATAGTCTAATAGATTATCCGAGTGAAAATGATACACATTCAGAAGTTCAAAGCTAAGAAGTGATACGATCGGACAAAAAAAATGTTAGCGATGAAGTTGAAGACGATATAATATTTGGAATCAGTTACGCATAAAGAAATACTTGTTGCGCCTAGAACTCTAGACTATTTTTTGATGCAGCTCAAGAAGACAATATCATAATTTTTGGATGCTATAAGAAAAGTTAGAGATACTTAGATTTAAATTTTTAAAAAAAACACTATAATTATATTTTAGTAACTTATACCCATAAGTTTTAAAAACTATCAAAACTTATCATATATTTGTATTACTGACACATTTCTTTGTTATTCTAAATTGATTGTAATCATTTTTATCAATAATCATATCATCACTTTCATATTTACTGAATATTTCATTACAATTTTAATATTCACATACGAAATTACGTAAAACAACACAAACAAATACTATAAAGGATGTTTTGTAAAAGATAAAAATTTGGTGTAGAGTTTGTATAATTAAAAATTTTCAAAATAATAAAATTTGATCCAAAATATTAGTTTTTTCTAGTATTTGGAAAATTTGGTTATTTGCCAAATATATTTACCAAATAATGGCAAATTATTTGAACAAACGTTATTTATCAAATTTTGTTTGAGAAATCTATGGCCAAACGGGACCTAATAATGACGTATTATACTTGTGCATTGCCAGTGTGTCCAAAATTTCAAAGTTTAGGCCCTCCCTAACCTCACACATATACAACATATATAACCAACTTCTTGTGATTTAAATTTTCTTGCTCATTTAATAGAATTGTGCTCATAGATTAGCCAGTTGGATATAATATTTTTAGGCATAATAGAAATAAATATCTTTAACTTGGTTTTAATGGATAACCGTACATTAATTTAGATATCTCAATTCGTCTCAACGTGAATACTTAATGTTGTGATGCAATACATCAAATTTGGAGGTATCTAGACGATCATGTTGTAAGTTGAAGTGTTCTACTGAAACACAATAAACCTAATTTATAGAGTGTTTAGTTGTCAGTTAGGAAAACATTATTAACGCTATTTAATTTGTTATAGTAAGGTCAATTTATGTGGTTATTCTTGGATTAGAAAGAAAAGTCTTGGTATATTTCATAATCATTTTCATTAGAAGTTGAGGCCGCCACGCTTATGAAATTGTAAGATTATGGACGACGATTAAGTACCAAAAGTAAGAAAACCAAAAGGATTATCGAGTATTAACAGTGTAATTAAGGATTAATTAATCAAAATGAATATCAACTCTGGTGGCTAAAGAAATATGTTGTTATAATTAAAGAAATATTTGAAATACGAGTTAATTATATATTTATTTGAAAGATTTGAGAAGAATTGAAATAAAAACATTTGACTTCTATTGATTGATCTGTTTCGTAGATTTAAAAATTTGACATAAATAATTTTAAAATTTTAAATTAACCCGATCCATGTACATCCAGTTAAAAAATTAGGATATTACTTCAATATAATGTTCCATGTATGTTTTACGCACCGATACCTTGTCAAAGGTTTTGATTTGACATTACCTTGGTTAAAACAATTAACTTTTGTCCAATGGTTTTTGTGTTAATCTAATTTTTAATTAAGGTAGTTACTATTTACTAAAATGTGAAACTAGAGTATAGTTTTTCTATACGTGGTATAATAATATGATTATTCTATGAAGTCTGAATTTTTCTTTATTTTTAATTATATATATATATATATATATAATTTAAATATAAAAAATTAGTAATTTTTTTTTATTAACGGTATTTTCAATTTCATTTGACTTAATACGAAACTGCATTGATTGAACCAGACTTCTAAAGAAAGACGGAGAACCTTAATAGCTCAATTAGTTTGAGTTTATTTTTCTACCTTATAATCTCCGATTCATATCTTTTTTTAAAAAAACAAATATATGATAAAGACAGATTATTGTGCTTATGCAATGAAAGGAATAGAAACAGAAAAATATATTGACCCAACTGCTCTTTATTATTAGTGAATATTAGATATTAATATTATATACCCAATAAGGAGAAAATATCGACTTTATATGGTTACTATCTTTGATTCTTTGAAAAAAAAAAACAAAGTAAGAAGGAAGCAGGTAAATGAAATTAATTAATTACTAGAAGTTAATTATAACTAACTACTACTAAAAGAGTAAGTATATGATTTTGTCAAACTGCATTGTTTCAATATATTATAATAATCCCTCTAATAAACACTCAAGATTTTATTTTTTTAAAAAATTTTAACATTTGGAATAACTTGTTTGAAATAATTCAAATATAACATGGCTAATTTTCCGATCTAAAATGGCAACCACATTGTTTAAAGAATTTTAGTTAAATTCATATGTATATCTTGAAAAGACGTCCGATAGTCCCTAATTTAGGAACATATATTATAATTAAAATGATATCGAAAAAATTAAAATGATTCATTTGTAAATATAATAATCGCGTATTTGATCCTTGTGAATTATGACAACATAGGACTTTATTATTTGTGAAATAATAGTGTAAATATAATAATCGCGTATTTGATCCTTGTGAATTATGACAACATAGGACTTTATTATTTGTGAAATAATAGTGTAAATCAAATGTTCCAATCATTTGACCTAAAATATAATTGTTGTAAAATAATTTAAAAAATTGACTAATAATAAAGTAGATCTTTTGTTAACTTATGAAATATTCATTGAAATTTGTTACGAGTTATATTTTGCTCGTAAGTATCAAAGAGAGACATGTCGTATTGCAGGTTTAAATTTTACTAATATTTAAAACAATTAATAAAATGGGTGAAAATTATAAGATACCATGATTCAAATTCTAGCAAAAATAAAATTTAATAAATTAGTTAAAGTGTACATAGAAAATTTAATAAATTAATTAAAGTGTACATAGAATGAATCGAACACCGTAATTACGGAAAACTAATGGAAACAAACACCATTTCATTTTACCCTAAAAAAAAAGTTACTACACAATTCTGTTGAACCAGAGCATAGCTTATTGTTAACAAACATAAATTCTAAAACATCTTATTTACAAATACATATCAAAAGAGTGACTAAATTTCTAGTTCAACTCAAATGTTCAAAATCAGCAAAACAATTTACAATGCAATAAAGTCAACTTTAAAAAAAAATCACAATTTTCAAGATCCCAATCAACGATGTGGCCTAGACTAATGAAGTGGTTGAGAATCGTGAGGTGTTCAAAATTCAGTAGAGACAAAACATACTAGATGATTCTTCCCATCTGAAATTAGTCAAGGTGTACGTAAACTGGCTCAGACATCACGATCTCAATAAAAAGAAGGGAGAATTTAGAGGATCAAGATAATTTTTTTCCTTCCCCATCATGACCAACTTTTCCTATGGTCATATTTACCACTTGGTCCATTCATAACACTTGTTGGTGAAATTGGTTCTTCTCTAACAACACTTTTTTCACTAAATCTTCTCATATAATCCTTCTTCCTTTGTGGTTTTCTTGTACTTACACTTGACCTTGAATCTCCCCCTCTAATTGTAGGTATCAAATACCATCCAATTGAAGTACACATTATTGCAAATGACCTTCCATATATAGCCAAAAATACCAATATCAATATTATAGTCAAAGGCAAATAAAACTTAGGCCTCTTCAAATTTTCCAACTTCATTGAATTCCACTTAGAAACACTCTTTTTTATTACCCTCTTTTCCGCGGACTCAGCTTTCCCTTCTTCACAATCTTCGTATACTTCACGAGTCATTTGCTTATTCGTAGACTCTATTTTCTCTTCTTGACAACTCTTTGACGATTTCTTGTCCTTCAATTTGACAATAATAGGCTTAGCATCATTGGAATTCGAAAAAACAAATCGTACGAAAGAGATATCGTCAGGGGCAATTTCGGAATAAATTCTTTGTTTCTTGTCTTCAAGATCAGCTAAGAGGGCAGAGAATTTATCAAGTCCTCTATTTGAATATGGATTATTTTTGTTACTAGACCTAAATAAACTTTTTTTTGATCTTTTTGGAGTTGAACATGGGCTAAAAAATTCCATATCATCATCTTGATGATGAAAAGATCCACAAATAAATGGATTAACCATATTGAATAGTAATAATAATACAAAAATTTGGATTTTTTTTTGGTTTTGGTAATGGAGAATATTTGTGTTTGTGTAGAATTGTATTTCAAAGGAACCAAACAAAAATGAGATGAAATGAGCTTATTATAAGTGGGAATTAGGAAATAGTCAAATAAAAAATAGGGGACTTTGGAATAAATTTTTATTTTATAAAAATTGTTAAGTCTATGTAGAAGCTTCTTTTGAGGACATCGATGATGTTTTGACTTTCATAATTCTTGTGAAAGAGGCAAAGTAATAATACATATGCAAGGAAATTATACTATGAATTTGATTTGGTCTAGATCTGTCATATTATTAATTTTTTTAATGTGTAATAATTTATATGACGTTTAATTTAATATTTTAAAAAATACGATTGAAATATATTGTTTAAAATAAGTCATAAATTTTTGTGTGACTATAAGTTGTCTCATTAAGAATGATATGAATATTTTATTAAATTACGATATCAAAAATAATTTTTAACGGCAATGAACACTCTTTGTATATGTTCTTAAAGCCTACATCGACATTAGATCTAATGACAATTAACTAATTAAAATCAGTAAGGGTTTTTAGTATTTTTTGTTAATGTGTTTATTTATTACTGTTAAAATTGTTTTTGTTATAGTAAATATTGAAATGTATTACTTTTTTTTTTGGGACCGACTTAAAAAAGTGTAACGTCAATGTGTTATGTATTTATTTTGTTTCAATTTCTTTGTCTGATTTATTTTGACACGAATTTAAGAAAATTGAAAAAAGCTTTGAATCATATAATCTAATATTGAAGAGATGTAAAACATATAAATATGCAATTTAATCTTGTAATCTTAAAAAATGTCATGTGAAATTTAAATTAAAGAATTTTCAATAAAAATAGAATTTTTTTCTTAAAAGACAAAACAAATTAAATAAAGACAGTATTTGCTCTTAATAAAGTTGGGACGGAGCCAAATTTTAAAATTTATGAAGTTTGAGAATTTAGTTATTTTAATTATTGATTCTAAATTATTTGAAGTTTTGAGAAGCGAAACAATGTTATATAAATTATGATGAAAAAATAACAATTTATAATAATCAGAAATTTTGAATTCTATTGAATTGGTTAATTATACTCTTTATCTCCATTCAAGCTCTCAAAGAGATTTTGTGCACATTTTGTAACTCTTAAATTCAAAGAACTTTTTTTTGGTTCAAGTACTCAATTTTAACAGTGATGAAATTAATAATTATGGTAAGGAATTTAATGTTGCTTCTAGATAGTTCTTATAATAACTTATCCAAAATAGTACAGCCATATATAGGTTGGGCAGCCTAAATGAAATAATTAATGAAATTAGGTTGTTAAAAAAATTATTCTATTTTATATTTATATATCGTCTTTATTAAAAATAGGAAAAAAGTTTAAATATGTCATTAAATTTTTAAAAAATATTCATTTATGTCATTTGTTAAAAGTTTGGTTCATCCATATCATTACCGTCAAAGAAAAGGCTCACATCATCAATTTTTTAAATTAAAAAAATCATAATTCTGAGCAAAAATTATATTCTTTTTTTTATTAAAAAAATTGATGAAGTGCCGAATTATAATTGGACACGCATCAATTTTTTTAATAAAAAATCAAAATTCTTAACAAAAATTGATTTTTTTATTTATTTTTATAATTAAAAAAATTGGTGACCTGATCGAATTTCACGTGTCAAAAATGATTTTGCCAAACCAGTGTTATAAAATAATGACATGAATATATCTTTTCTTAAACGGTAATGACATAAATGAGTCAAACTTTTAACTGATGGTATAAATGAGTCTTTTCTGAAAGTTCAATGGCATATTTAAAAATTTTCCCTTTAAAACAAATGATCTTTAATAATATATATATTATTTAGCAAAATCAATGTATAAATGACACTATTTTTCCTATTTGACCAACATAAAAAGTAATTATTAGTAATTATTAATGTGTCAAAGAATGTCAAAAGTTTCACGCCGGTGATTAATGAGATGAGTGGATTCCTTATAAGGCTTGAACATTGTTCCTCCCTTTGAGCTAGCTTTTGGGGTGTGAGTTAGGCCTAAATTCTAATTTTACATTGTATCAGAGCAGGATCCGTTTTGGGACCTAATTTAATTAATCAAAATAAATTAATTTATGTTCACCGATGACATATAAATAACAACGAAAAAGTATTTGATTCTTAACCTATGTTTGATAACTTTTTTAAAATTAGATTAAAATATTTTCAAAGTCGACTTAGTTCTATTCTTGTTACTTTTTATATTTTTAACTAAAATTATTTATGATTTACTTCAAGAATACATCTCAAGTTAGTATACAATAAAATAATTGATATTCAGCATAATCTTAATGTTGACATTAAGTTCTAATTTAACAATATACTCATTTACACACACATTTATGATACGTTAATTATTTGCACTTCAATTTTATATTAAATTCAAATTATTCGTGATTCAACTAACTAAATAAATAAATAATGCTATCGTCTTTCCTGATGTGCCGCACCACCAATTAAATATTCAAGAGATCTCATTCCATCTTAAAATAATAAAAAAATATGTAATTGGTGATAAAATTATTAATCAAAACAAGCTTGAAATAATCTTAAAGTGGATTTAAATGCCTAAAAACGTGCTAATTTATTATCAACAGCTTTAAATTATAGTAAAAAATGTTCTTACTTGTATTAATCATGTAGAATACTTTAATGATTCCGTATACTTTTTTCTTTTAATATAGAAAAAAAAATGTTTTTGTAGAGTAAAATCAGGAAGTTTCCATTATTTTACTAAAAAAAATTATTTTCCTCAGTATAATTATCTGGAGAGGCAATAAAGTGAAAAAAATATCAAAAAATACTATTTTATAACATAAATTTCTCATCGATTCAAAACGAGAAAACTATTTATTTCTAATAGTGACTTTTTTTTAAAAAAAATAAATACTAAATATAGTCTATGCTTTAAAAAAAAAAAGGGACAAAATAAACACGTTGGTTGTTATTTGCCGTATTGGATAGTTAATTGACTAGTACTTACAATATTTACTCATTTTTAGGAAATATAATATAATGATTCTTATTATTCAAACATTATCTTGAAAGATTTTTTTTTTTTAAAAATGACTTGTCTATTTTATCCTTGAATTTATTTTGACTTCAACCAAATGGCACTATAGGTTTTAATAAAATTAATAAAGCACATGATAAAGAAAATTCATCAATAGGGGTGAAACGTGATTTTGAAAATACAAACTAAAAATTGACATTTGAAATATAAAATTTGTAAATATGTCAAAATTATTAGTATAACACGGGATTCTAACTTTGATTTTTTCTCTTTGATTTGGACCCTTATATATATCACTATAATCTTACTTTGCATTTTCTCTAGAGAAGTTTTACGGAGAAAATGATTAAATACGAAGTTTTAAAATGGATTTTATAATTATAAATTAAAAATATGTATAATATATTAAAATATTATGTAAATTTTATGATCTTAAACACGTTAAATATAAAAAATTGAAATTTAAAAATTACACAAAGAAAGCAAAAATTCTTGTTAAAACAATTTTTTTATAAAAAGAAACACATTAATTAAAATAGATGATGTCGGTAATATATTTATAGGATTTTCTTCTTGCTTTAATTTTACCTGTTCCTTTTGACCAACATTAGCAGCACATTATATGGAGAAAAAAAAAAAGATTAGTAATGAACAGTCATGTGGATGGATAATGGTCGTAGCCCCTAGACCATGTGAAGGCAAAAAACATAAAGCGTATTTAGAATTTTGGCTAGATCGATGTATAATTATAAAAAAAAAAAATTTAAAATTTTAATTTGATCGATTTAACTTTTAGATTCTTAATATAAGTTACAAAATTTTAGAAATTATAAGTCCAAAATATATAGTATTATTGATTTTAAATTTTAAATTATGCATTGATTTAATTATATAAAAAAGTTATACTGCTAATTTCTATTTGGAATTTTCGATATAGTAAAATATGAAAGATTAAAAAGGAAAGAAAGGAAAAAGTTGAAATGTCAAAAAATGTAACTGAAAATCACTTGGAGAGGTGCTACTCGAAAAGATAAGAACATCCGATCATCATTTATCACTATAGGTATTTTAAACACAAGTTTACATATCTATATTTGAATATTTTTTAAAAAATATAACACTATTATAATTTACGTGAACTCACGACACTCCCTTTAAATACTCCTCTAATAAAATATAGACATTTTTCCGATAGATAATTACATTATATAAGGATAAATTATTATATTCATAGATAAAGTAGATATCATTATAATTATTTGGATTTTCGTATCTTATGTACTCCAATCGTATTATAGAATTTCTTTATAAATTTTGTTAGCTCGATATATATCATTGACCACCAATTTGTATCTAGAAACTCTAGTCATGTATAGTGCATGTGAATGGAATTAATGAAGAGCATCTAATTAATGGAGATGGGATACATTCTAGAAGACAAGATTTTAATTTATTTAACTCTCTTATTCATATACTCCTTTTATTCACTTTTTTGTCTGCATTTTTTAAAAATTAATTTTTAAAATTAAATTAGATTGCGTTAAATTTAATATTTTTTTATTTAAAAATTATGTGAAAATACTATAAATTATAATATTTTATATACAACATAATGAAAATGTACATCATAAAATATTGATTAAACTTCTTATAGTTCAGCTTTAAAATAGAAAATCACGACAATTAATTATTTTGCACACTCTTTGATATAATATGTAGATGAGTAAATAATTGAAGAGACAATGGAATTGTGTAAGTCAAGAGTTGAGAGTAAAGTCAAGTGATGATAATTTGGACACAATTTTCCTGGGATTTAGTGGAAACAATTTAGCAACAATATATGGAAATTATATTATACTTTTATAATATGTATGATTAATGGATTATTGTATAAAGGGTTATATGTTTGAGTATTCTGGCGTAGATATTTTAATGTAGATAATTTATCCCGCGTGAATATTGATAGATATTTTTATGATTCA